CGAACACGGTAACCGTGCTCGTGGTGCAAGAGGTTTCTTATTCCTAATATCTGCCAGCCTAGTAGCCTACACAGTGCTGCTCAGTGCACTGCAGTGCACAGGCCACAGCTGACAGCCAATCGATTCGCCAATCGAATGTAGGTATAACCTGCGAAACGTTACTTCCAGATGCACTGCGTAAAACACGGCAGGAAGCACAACGTCTCGTTGCTGTTTAATTTAATTCCGAGGGTTCTTTACTCGCGTCGCAGCGACCGGAGCACGAGCTCCTACAAGATCGTCAAGTCTAATGGCGATTCCTTAGACGGTGAGTAACTTCTTCACCTCCAGTCATTCACCTCGTTGTATCATCATATATCAGAATTTATCAGAATGGAAGAATGTAACGTAACGTGTCGCTGTCGCGGAACTGCGAGAACTCGCGTATAAATTTTGGGTATTTATTTACAACACTCCCATCCACTTCAATTTTGATGAAATTAGACTTATTCGATTTGCGTTTTTGCATAAAACGAAAGAATGTGGCAGAAAGAAGTGTTGCTCTGCCTCGTGAACCGAGATATTCATCGTTAAAGTTGACGACTATTTTTAGGTTAGGAAATCTGTCACAATCCTGAAAAAAACTCTGCTTCTCTGTTCTTGCTGTGTATGAAAAGTTGTAAACTCGTATGGAATCGTTCATAGGTTACTAACTTGTTACGCAAAGCGAGACTTAATTTTAAAAAATTGACTTTAGTTTTACGGGGTGAGTGGGGCGGGAACTCTTCGCATTTCGCATATATATACCAGGGCCTCCAATCTCCCCTCTTGTTTCGGCGTACCACCGTTAGTGGCGCTGCATTACGTTATGCATACACAAAATTAGTTATTAATTAATAATTAATTTAATGTTTAATTTATTAATCATGTTGCGGATCAACAAATTATTAGGTTCGATAGATTTAGAATAAAACGCTTTATCTTGTAGTACATCCTGATTGCGGATGATCAGAGATATCCTGTATATATACGTACATATATATTACGCTGAATCGCTGAATCAAGCCCAAGACAATGCGAGAAATAGCGATAGCGATAGGAATAACATGATTTCAATCTATCAAAAATCGGATACACCGGAATAAACAGTTTCTGATAGGTTGAAACTATGTTATTCCTATCGATATCGCTATTACTTCGCATTGTGTCTTGGGCTTCACTGTGAACGTGAACATCCTGTAAATAACACGTCCATGTTGATTTTAACAGCCATATTGAATATTAGTTCCGCATTTCCTGGTGTCATACAGTGGCGGTGCCACTAACTCATTGAATCAGCATAAGGCCCTGCGCACAATGGAGGAAATATTAGGAACAGGAATAGATATTAAGATTTCAACCTATCAGATACCAGTTACACCGGAATACACGGTTTCTGATAGGTTGAAATCTTAATATCTATTCCTGTTCCTAATATTTCCTCTATTGTGCGCAGGACTTAAGAGTAGGATTTCATTTCATTTGTGCGTTTTTGGCTGCGGTCCACTTGACGCTACAAACGCTTCGAAGCGTTTGAACGACCAATCAGAGCAAAGAATTTTACGAATTGACTAATCAAAGAATGCTTCGAAGCGTTTGTAGCGTCAAGTGGACCGCAGCC